CATCACAAGATACCAAGCACAACATCAATATCCAGTCTTTGGATAGAGATATTGACTTGTAAGCGGTACTCTTGGTGTAGTGATCAAACATTGACGATAAAACAACGTGTCAATCAATAAACCTTTCTTTGGACCAATTTATTGATCACACATTAAATCAAATAATCGTCACACGTTTATCACCATAGGTATAAGTGTATTCGGTTAAATATTGACCTTCCTTTGGGCCGACCAATATTCCCATGAATAACACATGCACAAACACTTTTTAACATTCTAAGTTAGTCAATTTTTACAAGAGAGGTTGCTTTGGCAACATGTTGCTTCAATTAACTAACTTTCGAATATTATATATCTTAAAAGAGTGGCTCCGGCCCACGCCCACGCCACAGGCAGGCGCTGCTGCGTTTTGTAGCAGCGCTTGTGTGCTGCTGCAAAACGCAGCAGCTGCTGCATCGCCGGCGCTGCAATTCGACGGATGCAGCAGCCCCGCCTCGACATACCCGTCGGCGGCCCTTTTTTTTTTTTTTTTTTACGTACAGAAATCTAAACCCAAAAATCCAAATTTCCAAAATCTGAAATTTTTTCAACCATTAATCCGAATTTCAAAAATAACAAGAATTATACCGCAAATTTTTTTTTCAAATTTAACAAAATATATAACCAAAAATTGTTAAATCTAAAAATTTCAAAATATATTACAAGAACCAAATTATATTATTCGATTCTCAATGATTCAACATGAAGAGGCTCTGATACCACTTGTTGGAGAATTTAGTGTTTTAAATTACCGGATCTTTCATGTTAAATCATCAAAAAATGCAAGAATTAAAGCGGAAGCATACCTAAATCAGACATGGTTAATCCAATATGAATTTCGTGGTATGGTCTTCCAAATTTACACACAGTCTCCTTTTCCTCTCTGTGATGGGATGTAGTAGATAATGAATAATACGTTGCATGTGATCTGGGGACCATAACTTATTTATATAGGGATGCCCTTTGACCTAATTCGGCCCATTATAGAATTAGGATTTGGGCACGGTCTCTACACATATGTAAACACTTTAACTGGATACATTAAAGCCCAAAATTCAAGTCTTATTAGATCACTTTAATTGGGTTCAACCGAATTCGATAGCCTATAATTTAACACACAATTATTCATACATACAAGTCCATCTTTAATTAAAAATCTTTACAATCTCCCACTTGAGCTATATGTGTCACCTTATAATTGTGCATTAAATATAACCTTATGAGTACTCAGAATCTTGCTATCATTACCGAATGTATCCCCAAACAATCCCGTCCATCAATCATATCAACATAAGATCACAGCGGCTTTCGCTACTTTCACGTAGCTAAACCCATCAATGGTCACGTATATCAATATAACCGAATGACATGGATCAAGCATGGATGTGTAGTATGGAAATTACATGTAATGTGATCTGTAACATGCCTATTTCCAATTGGTCCACCTTAATACCTTAGTGAGATCATTTTAAACAATTTCAGAGATAATTAACCAAATAACTTTATAACTGAAAATAATTTTAACTTTAAACCGTATCCAAAATAATAGTGCATGTGTCCAATATGAAAAATAAAAATACAAACTCCCACTAAAACTAGATATCCTCAAGAGAATGAATGTAGCCAAAAATGAGAAGAAAGAGGAAAAAAACATAACCGGAGAGAGAATCAACTCGTCTGTAACCTTTTCTTCTAGGGTTTTCTCTCTTCCGTTTACTTTGGCTGCATGAATAATTATTTCCTTAATGCTCATCATGGCTAAAGGATTCTATATTCTTAATTCTTCAGTCCAAGCCGAAGCTTTAATTATTAACATTGGTCATCCAGCTTCATTATAATTATCATGTAACCCCTCAATTATTTAACAATTCCTTTAAGCCATTTTCCCTTTTTATTTCACTAATTTGAGTCAAATCCATTTGATATGGGCTTGTGCTTTTTATTTCTACCTTCTACCAATTTATACAATTCAGGACTATATTGTATTCAATAAAAAAGTTGTAAATTCCATTTTATTTGTATATCCTTTTTACCCTTTTATCTCCCAAGAAATTTGGGTGGTTCTAGGCAATTAAAAGTTTAGTAGGATTACAAAATTTAATTTTTCATTTGTTAAAAAAAATAAAAAATTCTTGACTCGAAATAATACTCTCAAAAAATGGTATATATCGACTAACGTATCTTTTTGAGAAATTTTAATATTTCACAAAGTTTGGAAAAATAAAGTATTTAAAATGTCAACTATATAATCTCACTCTAATATCAACTATAGAAGTTATAACCCACTCTATTTCGTGGGACAATCACTTTTGTCAAATTTTCAACCACGAATTTTATCAATTTCAATTAAAATCTACTAAAAATTTGATTTTTAACTACACCAAACAGGAGCTAATATTTTTATAGCTAGAGAATCTATTAGCTATATTTTCCGATGAAGGTATTTCGCTGATCATTTTTTACAGTCTTGTTTTACTTTTTGCTTTGGGAAAGTAGAAAGAAATCTATCTTTATGTGAATCCAATATCACTTAAAGGTACATTCAAGATTAGAAAAATTGGAAAAAACAAATAAAAACGCAAGGAAAGGGGAAGAAAGGGAAACTACCTGTTTATTTGGGTTTAGCTTTTGCTTTCATTTGGCAGCCATTGATGGAACCTTTGTGGGGGAAGTATGAAGAAACTTGATCTGAATCGGAGCATCCAATGCTTATGGCAGCACACACCAAGAGACGGAAGAAAAACACATTTGTTTAGTTTTCATGCTGATGTCCTTTTAGGACATATTGTTGGCACAACATGGTTGAGATGCTTAATCTGATCATTTAAGGAGGAATTCTTTTAATGTCCAAGATTCACATTATCTATTGTCATTTTGTGCCTCCTTTTAATTGCTATTTACGAGTATATTTGATGCAAGAAGTTTCAAATCAAGTGAAGCGGAGATGTCAGATAGCACGTTGATGACGTTGAGATACCATGAGATGATGGATCGGCGCAAAGATGGAAGGTGATTGCAATACCTTCCTTAATTGGGGGCAATTTTGACACTTTTTTTGATAATTTGGTCATAACTTTGGTTACGATTATCAGAATCGCCATTATGACTCCAATTCGAAAAACTCTTGTCAATGCACACATCATGGTCACCCAGCTATGCTCGGTTGGCATCAATTTCGAGGCCAAAATCCGCTGTTTTCCCCCTTCGAATTTCAATTTTTAGTTATTTTTTCCATTTATGATAATGTTTCGTTTTCTTTTTCTAGTTGATTTCGAATCCGATTTTTGCCAAATTTTTAGCGAGTTCTTTTATTCCATATTTTATTTTGGTGGAATTTTCGGGGACTTTGCCATTTTTGGTAAATTTTCATAATTTCGTAGTTTGTCAGCTATTTGACCCGACTTGTAGGTTAACTTTCGTATTCTGCGTTGTAATAAAGTTAAGTTGAATTTCAGATAATTCTCTCTGTCTCTTGGGCGTTTTTCCTTCGTGTTCTTTTTGCGAATTAGATGTTGCAACTAGCCTGCAGGATAATCACTATTCTACACGGCATCTTTATTCCTAGTACCAATTTTAAAATGTTTTATCATTGCACGTTGACAGCAGTTTTCTTTTCCGTGGCTTGCATTGTTGTTGGATTTAGGGCTGATCTCAAACTTTGACTGCATTATGAAATCGAAGTTGTCAAAAAAGAAAAGGGATTATGGGGGAATAAACACCTCTTTCACTTAAATTTTCCTCATGATACCCTCTAAGATAGTATTATTGGAATTCATTTTCATTTTATTCAAGTTTATTTTGAGCAGAATTATAATAGTCTTAGAACTTTGATTCGTTATAGAAATCAGATAACTACTTTTGTGTTCATTTTTAATTGAAGATATTTTGACTAATGATAAGTGGAATATATTCAATTTATTTATAATATTTTCGTCTTCTATGCAATGTATATCACATTTCCTCAATCTAAATTTGATTTTACCGACATTATTAAATATTTCTTTAGTCTTCCTACAATGCAGGGATGGAAATTTTCCATTATCCAAGTACGTGTTGCCATGAAAAACACCTTTAAAAACATTTTTCATCATACCAATTCCTTTTTAGCTATAGTGTTCGATCCTCATCTCAAATTAAGCAGAGCCAAATATTATTTTCAATTATTTTAAAATAAATTAAATTTTATATTTTAAATAAATATCTCCTCGCAGAAAAAATTATGAAATTATGTAATAATTAGTACTTCAACTCAAACTAAACAGATTTATTTTTTCCTGAATTCGAAAGGTAGGAAACTTGTATTTATGGTTGCATGGTTTAATGTTATTTGTACTTTTTTCGACGAGTCTTGTTGTGTGATGGATGGGACAATATTGCACCATTTTAACGTAGAATTTATCTACCATACCCTGCATTCTAATATAATGCATTTAGATATTTTTTTTTTCCTGGTATATGCTTTAATTTGTGTATGATACTTAGAATGTTGTGACATCTTTTAAGTTGATGATTTATTTTGAATTTAAAGTTCTGATATCAACTTTTCAAAGAAAAAAAAAACTGTTGAATTATTGGATGAGGACCCCAAGGTTTATGGGGTAATTTTACAAGAAGACAAAGTCGAGTAATGATGATTTTTCAACTTTGTGTTTGTTATCATCTTCGTTTCTTGAATAAGCTAAAGCACCCCCGAGGTTCAACGTCGTCCTGTACCATACCGCCACCATTTGAAATGTCAATGGCTTCTAACATTTGAACTACCTCTTCAATCTTGGGTCTTCTTTTGGGGTCCGTATCCCAACATTTTTTCATCACGTCAGCAACAGAAATGGGGCAGCACTTGGGTATTTCCGGCCTCAAACTCTGAATGCAAAACTTTTAAGAGTTAACTAAAACATTTCACTGTGTATTGCTATATAGACATAAATTAACAAACTGCAGAAACTACCTTGTAAACAACCAGTGAGGTTTCTTCAATTGAAGCAATGTTGGGAAATGGCATGGAACAACAATCAATTTCCCATAGACAGATCCCAAAACTGTACACGTCGCATTTCTGATCGTATGGATTGCCAATTAAGACCTGAAAAGGATGTACAAAAATTTTGATCACTAACTATAAATAAATATGCTTTCAAGCTTACCCAAACAAACTTAACTCGTATCATTAAAATAAAAGATTTGATTAAAAAAAAAAAAAAAAAACCTCTGGTGCCATATAACCAAGTGTCCCAGTTTGTCCAGTCATCTCAGCAAGATTTGCAGCTTCTACTCTTGAGACACCAAAATCAGTTATTTTGACTCTTCCTTCTTTATCAAGAAGCATATTTTCTGTTTTCACGTTTCTGTGAACAACCTTTAATGAATGCATATAACTCAACCTATAAGAGGGGGGAAAGGTAAAAATTAGCTACTTTTTTTTCTTTTTAATCACTTTGATCTATGAAGAAGTGAAAAATCATTTTTTCGCCTAGCTATTATCATAAATTTGTTCTTAAAATGAAATGAATAGATATATACCCTCTAGCTATGTCAAGTGCAAGTCCGACAACCACTTTCAATGGTAGCTTCTTTATTCGGTTTCGTATGAGATAAGACTTTAGAGTACCTCCCATAAGATATTCTACCACAATGCAACAAATATTTTGTGGCTTGTCAATTTTGCCACCATCAGGTTCCATTTTTACTTCAGCAATGCCTTTTTTGCACCAATTAACTTGAGAAAAAAGAAACATGTAAAAGTTAGTGGATGACTTAATCAAACTAATAAAAAATTTCTTAACTTTCTAAAAGGAAAGCACCCGTCCAAAGCGTGTACTTGGAATGCATTACTAAACGGTGGACAATATAATGAACAAATAATGGATCGTCTACTTTATCAAACAAGCTATATTCGTTTATGAATTATAATTAAGAAATTAAAAGGCAAAAATGCATGAAGAAAGGAGGTTTATAGTTACCTTGGCAATGTTAGGATGATCCAACTTATCCCATACAGAAACTTGTTGAAAGAAAATTTTGTGCAGGGAATTTTCTCCCAAATCCAGTAGCTTAACTAAAAATTAATCAAAAGAAAATAAGAACCTAACATTAGCAAGGATCAAAACCTCAAAGATTTATCATGATGTATAATTTAATTTTGCCCATAAATATTTATGTAATTCCTAACGGATTTATTTCATGTGAATTCCCTTTAAATACTACATGAAAATAGTTAAAAAAATATTAAGGTATTCAATAATTAGTTGCATACACATCGAATTTAGTAAAATACCAAACTTAATTCTTGATTAATAATTACATATTATAAGAAGTAAATTATAATTTAAAAATAAGTAAATTAAATAATTTACGACTGCATGTTAGTTAAACAATTAGTTATTCAGAATGTCCACTAAAAAAATTAAGCCAATATTTCATACGAATACCATTCTTTAAATACAAATGTACGCAGATTAATATCCTGTTTTAATAAAGTTTTTGTGACAGCAACAATAATAATTTCGTCTTAAAATTAATTATCATGAAAAGAAGTACTAATACTGTTAATTATCAAAACAATGTCACGTCCATTGTTATTAGTTTGTTCTTACCCAGCGCATCAAAGCTCCAATCAATCATCAAATTTTTAAGTGAAGCAACTTCGTGCAAATTGAACTCCATGAAATATTCAGCATTGCAAAACAATTGACAAAAATTAATTATCAAGAAAAGAAGTACAAATATTGAAATAAACAGGCACGATATTATAATTCACAATTAAAAAAAAAAAAAAAAAGAAGTGGGA